TTGGTAAATACTTCTGCCCCTTCTTGTCAGCATGTATATTCCTCTTTTTAAGCTTCATGCTAGGCATGCATTTATGTCTATGTCCATCGACTTTTTCGAGTGGGGCATCATCGTCACTACCTGTGTTTCACCTATCCCTCGGAATCTAACTCCGAAGCGTTATGATCAGCTACGCGGGTGTATTGTGCACTAGTTCTAACGACCAATATAAAAGTTATACCAACGCTATCACTGTAGAACATTAACGTGTTTGTGCGCGCTCAAAGACGTCTATCAGATGGCCGTCTGATGAACAAGTGTCAGGCATATTCACAGATCGGTAAATCCAGATGATATTTAGATCGTGCCTCCTGAGCAATGATAGAACAAGGATGGAATCAAATTTCTCGATCAAATCCGTATAGTGGAACTTTGACTTACTCATATTTTTACAGAGTATAATTAATTACTGATACACGTTTCTTTCTGCTAAGGATGCGCCTCCTGTTGATAGACGCACCGTCATCCTGGTTGTACTGGCTCGCGCTGATAAAAATCGAGTCTGCGATCCCCTCCTATTGTCTTTGAGCAAAGTTATTTGACGCCTCACAGTCAACCAGGGCTTAGAGTTACATGTTAGTTTTCAATTCAATCGTTGAGGTATGAGAGATACCTAATCATTAGGTAAAGTAACACACATATTCTTTTGCGGTTATGAGAGCGACCTTCGTCAAACGATCTGGAAAGTCTATTGACGTTGCTAAATTATCAGGGCGCTTTGCCCCTTCTGACTCCAATCATGTTCTGAGACCCGTCTCGTTGTTGCGATGTTTACTACACCGTCGAACCCGCCTCTCGGTCCCTTCTTGGGCGAATGACGGTTGTTACGTACTATTGTACGCAGCACTGTATAATATGGTAAATGCATTCGTAGGCTTACTGCCCTATCTTTTGTCATCGATTGCATTTCTATTATTGTTTGCATCTGGGAAAGTGTAAGCAATCGACCAGCACGTAACAGAGGTCCATCGGTTCCGGAGTTTTTGTTTCCTATCTTCTCGACAACTTATAGGTGATGGAATATATAAACAGGCTTGTCTTAAACTAGAGTATTCCTAATTCGCTATTGAGATCTCTTGTTCCATTGAATCCAATATACGTCGTAATAGGTATAGTATTGATGGGAATATCCCCAAGACCCTAAATATTCACATGAGTTTAGTTGTTTCATCGATCGGGTTTGCAGTGATGCAATTTGAGAGGTATCGAATGTGCTGCGCAAAAGTATGTACATCAATTCTACCCCAAATTAGTTTCATAAACTCAGTTCGAGCCCTAAACTTGGTTCGTGGCGTCTCAAACGTATTTTTGAGTCGAGTCTTGAAGAACACTGATGATCTAAATGCATATGATTGAAGCTTGATTCTTGAGACCCATGGCTTGGAGCGTCTGAGCAAGTTGTACTGAGAGAACGCGACATCCATCTCTTCGTCGGTGATATAAAGAACTCTTGGCGTCATGCGACTCGACGAAACGTCTCAACAGGAAGCATTCGTAGACTCCTTTGTAATGGTAAATGTCAATATTCAAGCTTTCAGGTCGATGTGCTTGTGTCAAACCGGGACCAAAGACCTACTCTTGCTTCTGTCTCAACAGTTGGAACTGTTGATGATATTGTTGGTGTAGCAAGATCACTTTCTCCCATTCCGCGTCAAGTTCATTCCGGAGGAACTTGGTAATCGCTGTGTGCGTCCGTGTTCATTCAGAGTGAACAACTTGGCGTTGAAGGTAGACCCAACAACCGTCATATTCGCTCGTTCGACCGCCGCCCATTCGATATCGCTCATATGTGCTTAGCCTTCACGCGTAACGTAAATTATATCTTCTTCATCCAACATGTTCTTGTTGGGGGGAACGTCCGTGGTTGTTGGATGGACCACCAAGTGCTTCGAGGTTGCAACGGGTTACTGAACGCATGTACTGACACAGTAAAGCTACCTACAGTATACGTGCAGAGGAAGGTGATTCTACGAAACGAGCACGCTTATCATTGTAAAAAGTAGAAGTATATTTGATCGATAGTAAAAACACCTATATAGTAGATATTTTTCTGCCTTGACAGTGCTGAAATACATCTTCCGAATTTAGCTACCAGTTTACCGCCCATTGCTCGCGTTCAGCAGCGAATGATGGCTTAGTTGGTTGATATGATGGCCTTTGTTGACCAATAACGAAGCAGAGCCGAATGTACCTTCGAAGGCAGTATTTCTTTGTTTTTTACAAGTACATTAAACATGGGTGAGTAGTTTTCAATAATGATCATATTCACATTGACCTATGGTGGTGTCAATTACATGTAAGAGGCTCACCCTGATACATGATACGTCGTCCAGTACTTCACTGATTGTCAGCCGATCGTTGAGTAGCACTGCTATACAGACGACTGATTGACGCGTCTCCTTCGACGTCGTAGGTGACGTGGTCGTCAGATGTCGGTCTTCTCACAGTTCATAGCTTTGGAATCCGAATTGGTAATAGGCGAAGCAAAAATACTCCGTTGCAGCATCAAGAACTATTGTAACGGGGCACCGATCGCCACGTACTGGACTACCAGTACGGAGCCAACTCTCACTGACTGCAGTGCATTTCAGTGCCCTGCTAGGTATATGCTGTATACAGAGGAAGGGTTGACGACGAAGACAAAGACCTTTGTCGTAGTAAAAGTACAATTGTTATTTTGTAACCAGGTCCAATATCTCTTGTTGTCTGATTTGTCCTAACTTCATTATAGAAATATAACGAAACGTATGACGACGTCTACTCACCAACCATTGCGAGCGTCTTAGCAGCGATTGGTGGGTTGACATAAACACGATATCAACCAATGAGCAGACTTTTAGGTCATCTCAACAACATCACCATGTCTGTGATATTGTTAAAAGAATATTCGACGTAATATTCTTTATTGTCAAATTGTCTAATGACAATTTCTTGCAACGGGCTACCCCGTTACACTAGATGCTCACTAGGGTGTGTGCTACAGCTATCGATACGGTGGCCCTTTCCTCCGCCCAGCAGCTTGTCAAGCCTGGACGTTTTGTTGTCACCTGTAACAGTATTGCAAACGATGGTTACACGCCAACGGTGGTGCGCATGTTGCCTTTTGTCCGATATCGGCAGGAAAACAAAGCGATCGATGGGGCACGCATGACAATACGTCGAAGCTCGTGGTAAGTCGGTCTGCACCTCCTTCATCGCTGTTGTCCCGTCAAGTTTGCATAACGCACGAACAGAAGTGACGTGCCCAGCGCACATTGTAGTCGCACATTCTTTGACGGTATAGCGCATGTGGTTCTTGCCGGCGCCCTCCAAGCTTCTTTTAGGACAAGGAGCTAAAGGTTGAGAAACGAACACATACGGCGTACGTATGTGAAAGCCGATCGCATCAGTGATGGTATAAAGTGTTGCGTCGCATGCTGGTACTGCTGCAGCCAGTAGTTGCAGACGACCGATATGGAAATCGCAATTGCAAGACCAGAAAGTCATCGACTCCATTATACGAACTGCTTAGCATCTTGTGCATGCGTTCTTGCCCAGGGGCCTTGCAAAGCACCCAAAGTGCTGTTCAGCGACCTAGAAGCATCGATGCCATAAGTTGACGCTGTGAAAGCACGAGCATGCGTAGGGTCGTTGCGCTGCTGAACACAACAGTCTGGCGCATGTCCGGGCTTAATGTTCTTACGCACAGTTTATCCGTGCTTCCCGATTCGCGTTTGGCATTAGCTCCAGCCATGTTGATAGCACGTCCTCCTAAAAGACGATTGTAGTAACTCCTGCCGTAGATTGACAGGCGGGGCTTGCCGCTGTCAACAATTCTTTGCCATCGGTAAAAAGAGGATGGCTGCGAGTAAGACTGGATACTGGGGTCTGTAAGAAGTCACTACGAATGTGGCACGTGAGAGAGACTACATGAGGCCCGCTTTACAGAACCAAATGCTTGCACAGAAGAGCATGAGATGTGGTACGTTCGAGCTTAACATGTCAATAGATCCTCGCTTGGTGTAGTTCGTTGACCGCCACCACGTACCTCTTGTTCGACAGACGCGCATGCTCCTCTCATAGATAACAGCATGATTGTCATACATGGTGTACGACAGAGGTAGCATGACGCGGTAACGAATCACAGCCACACTATGTAGCGCGAAGCCGTGCTGAACGTACCATGACGACGATTGAAGTACACTAGGATATGCATGTGGACCCGGACTTTATCCAGGCACATCACCAATCTGGCCTGCTACCCTCATCCAGTGTTGACATGGTGTCCTACCGACCGGCTGTGACACACGCAAGTGCAAGAAGACGAGTTCAAGCTCCGTGAGGCGCGAGAGCAGAGTGTGACCGATCCGTCGGGCTCCTGACATCACAACGACAACACGTCAACTCGTGTACTTGACACCGCCATGCGCCAGATTGAACGCTACCTGTTTGTCATAAGATGAAGAGAACATTGTGTCAGCAGTTGTGCGTCTGATCAGAACAAACATCTTGCGTTGCGCGGATAGTGGTTTGACAAGCCAAGTCGACTCTTTGACCTACTCACATGTTTTTGTTATAGCCCGAACTCGACACGAACGAGGATACACTTAGCTGTCACAGTTCCGTTATCTTACCCATTGCACTGGCAGATGCTCTGTCTAACACAAGGGCTTGACCGCTGCTCCAAAGCAATCATTTGTTCAGAGCAAATGGTACTAAAGGTGCTGGTGTTTGCAGGAGCGCGTCAATCCGCGTTGCTTGCGTGCTGTACGTTGCCACGAGACAAACGTCCATGCGACTCAAAATATTCCATCGCCACCGCTGACGATTCGGTGCTGATATGCGTCGGCTTTCGCTCTCGTTGCGGGTCATATGACCGCTACACGAACACACTTTTCTTGGCTCCTTGCCGCAAGGCAAACCATACGCTCCAGACAGAATAGCACACTCGCTACCTTCGTCGTCGCATAAGAGAGTGCCTTCTACGACGACAAACCAATGCAGTCACATGCACACGTCGACTCCTGTCCCTCCCTCCCACCCATCATCTCCACGCGCTGCGCTTTCTCCGCGGCGAAGCTCTGCGGCTCGTCGAGCAGGTCGCCACCGATCATAGACCCCTTCCGAATTAGCGCGCTCTCCATCATTGTCATGCTGTCCTCGATGTTGCCCAGCACATCGACGAAAGCAGCCACGAAGTCCACGTACGTATCGTACCGGTGGATCTTGTTGTCGTCACCAAAGTAAAAGGTGTTGCCCACGGAGTAGGCAAACTCCGTGCCAATGAGGCGCTGCACAAGCCCTTCGTTCCAGAGCACGTGCGGAAAGATCTTCTCGATCGTGCGACGCGTGAAGCGCACGTGCAGCGTGGCAGGTGCGAGCACCACCGGGCTTGGATGCGCCACCACGAGCTGCAGCGATTTGACCTCATACCTGAGTCCCGCATGGTTCAGCGAGTACTTTTTCCACTGGTCCAGCAGCTCATGGACACCGTACGAGTCGCCAAAGACCACATCTGAATGCATGAGGCCCTTCAGGTAGCGATCCTGTTGGAACGACAGTGAGAGCTGGTCTTGCCGGATGCCAACCACACCGTCTTGTTCAGTCACCGGTACTCCGTACTTGAAGAGCGAAAAGTATTCGTCCACGATATTGGCAAACGTCGTGCCCATTGGCTGACGTGCGGGTGGCCACGCAGCGAGTTGTTGCTGCCGTGACCATTCACAGAGGTCGAGCTGAGTCACTTCTTGTTTCAGCTCTTCCACCTGCTCTTCCAGCGTCTGCACGTAAGTCTTCCGACGCGAGCGGTAGAGCTTCCCGCGTTCGCTATTCGACAGGCGGCGCGAGCGTTTCCTCGACGGCGACGCTTTCCCCGTCCCGACATACGCAGTAGGAGTCGTTGGGACCACTGCCAAAAGACGCTGTCGGTTCAGCGCACTGTCCCTTGGCCATGCCACATCGACGTGATGCGGACTCGACACGTCGTCCGTGGCAAACGCCTCGAGCGGCACGCACTTGTCGGTGCTGCTGCAACACAGTGCAGTAATGTCCATGCGGCGATCGTGAATGTTCATTGCAGCAAAAGAAGTGACGCTGGAAGACATTCAGCGGTTTGGCTGTTTACTCACACACGTACGAGACGTGAGGCAGTTGCCGTTGCGGTTTGCGGTTCTCGATCTGCGGATCGATGTGCGCGCTCGGCGTGAAATTGTGAAATGACCGGCAGGCGGCCCAGCGAGTTTGTAGGTAGGTGCGCATGGCCTCCCAACGACTTTTTTGCCCAAAACGCGTGCGTTCTTATTTCGTTAAATTGGGCTATGACGATTATCCCAAACGGGCTCAGCACGCGACGCTGATTGGCTCAACAGAATCACGGACATGCACTTGGGCGAACCAGCTGGCAACACGTCCCGCGTGTCCTGTCTATGGCGACTTACCTTGCGGCACGGGCCGTGCAGTGGGGCGTTGCACTGGTTTATGCACGAGCAGGCAGCATCTGCGACGTGTGCCAGGTGTCGCTTGACCTGCCCGGGACGCTCGTTGACGAGCTTTTAGCGCTTCAGCGACAGAGAATTAGTCCAACGGAGCCACGTAATAACGGCCAAATCGTCATCGTGCTTCGAGTAACTTTATCGGGTGCGCGTGACACGCAACGTGGGCAGGCCAGCGCCCTGGCAGCTGTCGATACAAGGGCGGTCGGGAGAACACCGGGTCAAGGGCTATTTAATCAGGGGCGCGCGCGCATCGATCACCACAATGCATCGCTCAGCGCACGGCGCTGACTCAAAAAAGGTCTGGAGTCGAGATATTTCCTCCTCTTTGCTGCAGTAACATCGCGGCGATGTTGATCGCCAAAGGAGGCGATATCGTCATCAAAGTATCACGACACTGAAGGGACAACCACAATGTGGCGGGGGGAGGGCTATTACTGCAAAAGTTTACGCACGATTCGTCAACATGTACTGGATCTACTCGGCTGCTAGAATATAAGAGAGCTCGAGGCGATTTCGATGCGAGCGGTCGAGGAACGATGAGGGAGCGACCGGTGCGTCGTCCCGTACATTGGCATCACTCGGTGACGTATCGCGGTGACTTTGCTCCATAGGGCTTGGCACGGGGCTACCGGGTGTTTGCCGGATAGCAGCAGTAGCAAGCTCCTCCTCCTGCTCTTCCTCTGTCACGACAGCAAACCGGCGCCCGTCACTATCGTCGCCAAGCATGTGTTCCTTCTCGATCAGTGCGTTGCCCATGATGCGCGCCACGAGCGCTGGGCTCTTTAGTGCCTTCATGAGCCCACCGACAAAGTCGATCTCGGGGGCATACCACTCGATCACGCCGTTCTGGTCAAAGTGAAAGTGATTGATACACGGGTACGTGATGACTAGTCCCACGAGTAACTGCGTCAACGCTTCGTCGCCGACCAAGTGCGGAAACACATTCTCGATCGTGCGTTGCGAAAACTGCACGCGCAAAGTCGCAGTGATCGAGACCACAAGCGGTCCGTCGTCGTCGCACTCAGCAGCGGCCGTCAGGTCTCGAGACTCAACCGGCTGAATCACGTCCAGGGACTCCATCCTCCAGTCAATGGCCGAATGGTACAGTGAGTAGCGTTCCCACTGGGACAACATGAGGTCCATGCCAACAAAGTCGCCAAAGCGAAGGCGGTCCACCACTACAGCCTGCAGAAAGCCGCGTTGCGTACTCGTGGCCTGTGCTACGAACGACGCGGACGCGTCTGACTCGTTCACGGCCAAACGCACAGGCGTTCCATGGTTGAAGAGCAAGCAGTACTCGTTCACAATAAGAGCTGCGGCACCGAGCGGTGTACGTCGCTGTGAGAGAGCCAGCTCCTGCTGCACTTGACGGGAGACGGTCAATGCGGCAATCTCATCCCGGAGCTCGGCCACGTGGCTTTCGAGATATTTACTATAGCGGTGACGGCGACGGCGGTAGTATTTGCCCCGCTCGCTATTAGACATGAGTTTCAGCGCAGCTGGTGGCGTGAGGTCAAAAGGGCGCGCGCGGTGCCGTTGCTTGGGACCGAAAGGCTCGCGGACGACACTCATTGGGAAGGACAGACGTCGGCAGCGGGGGAGACGCGCGTTCTTGCGTGCGGGACGACCAAACAGTGAATGAGTGGATGGACAAAAGGAAGAGTGAAATGGACATGCCGCTTCGGGCCGCCTACAGTCGAACGAAGATTGGGAAACAGGGATTAACGGTCGATCGGGCTGTCCGTCTGTCCGTCTGTCGCTGGTCCTTTCGATGGGAGAGGTATCAAGGCCCGGCGACAACCAAAAAAACACACACATCGACCTCAAGCGCCCCGCAGGTACTGCTACTGCTACTACTGCTACTACTGCTACCAATGCCGTGTGACTAAAGCTCTATGGAAATACTGTAATGTCCCGGCCGTCTTTTCTTCCATTTCGTCAGCAGGGAACGAGGGAGTCAAACGCCGTCGGAACACTCGGGAATTCGACTGCCGCGCTGCCTCTTCTTCCTGCTAACGTCGGATGGATCGTTTGTCGACCGGGTCAAGTCCTTTCTTCATGACGCGGCTCAACGAATTCTACACAATTGCAAACTCACCTGCGTCCTCAAGGACAAAAGAAGACAAGAGGGACAAGTCAACGGGTCAGCAACACCCATCACGCACTCTTCTGGTCGTCTTCCTGAGCCGACACATCAGAGGCTTTTCGTCCAAACTAGCGGCCGTTTCGACAGCGCTGTTAACTTGCAATGCCACCGATCAAGTGAGTGCTCGTTAGCAGTCGGTTGAACCTCGCGTGGCGACCACTCGCTCCCCGACGTCACAACAACAACTGCGACGGCGTTCATTTTGTCACGAGCGACCCCCCCCCACACACACAACTGTTTCGAGCGACATCTTTGGCGTCGGTCGCACGTCCGGATGGCCGCGTCGCACGCCACCACCTTTTCGTCATCAGTTGCTCTTGTCGCCGCCTCGTCCACAACTATCGACGGACGGCGTCGATTCGACCGCCAAGACCCCTGCGATATCAGTGTGCACCGTGCCTGGGTGGGTATAACCATCCTGTCTCCTGTAGCCGCTTTGGGAGTACCGACGGCGACAAGGTGCACCTGTCGTCACCTTCGTTGGATTTTTGGTGCATCAAAGCCTCGAGAAACAATCGCACGAACGCGTCTTCTGTGTACACTTCCTATCGCTCAGCACACGCGTCAAAATACTGCCCTCGATGTAGACGCAATCGCTATGGGACGCGCCTACGGGTTGCGCTAAGCTGCAACTTGGCCACACAATGCATTGCGATTGCACCCTTGGCCAGGGCAGACCCTTCTGCTGAACCTGACACGGTGACGCTACTATGTGCAGCTCTTATTGTGAACGAGTTTTGCTTGCTCATCAGCCGTGGAGCGCCCGTGCGTTTGGCCGTGAACGAGTCAGACGCGTCCGCGTCGTTCGTAGCACAGGCCACGAGTACGCAACGCGGCTTTCTGCAGGCTGTAGTGGTGGACCGCCTTCGCTTTGGCGACTTTGTTGGCATGGACCTCATGTTGTCCCAGTGGGAACGCTACTCACTGTACCATTCGGCCATTGACTGGAGGATGGAGTCCCTGGACGTGATTCAGCCGGTTGAGTCTCGAGACCTGACGGCCGCTGCTGAGTGCGACGACGACGGACCGCTTGTGGTCTCGATCACTGCGACTTTGCGCGTGCAGTTTTCGCAACGCACGATCGAGAATGTGTTTCCGCACGTGATGGGACACAGAGCGTTGACGCGATTACTCATTTGACTGCTGGTCATGGACCCTACGAATAGAGTGGCTACCCACATTGGCCACGACGCGTGCGCTCTCCACTATGAGCAACAATCGATTTCAGAGATGGCCTGTCGTGGCGCAGATGAGGAGCGTCAGAAGAGGGGGCGACCGTCATGTTGTGAACGAGGCGGTTGATGACGTGTCCGTGTATCAATCATGTGCACTTGATTGACACGGTGTGACCGACGGGGTGGCGCGCTTCGCAAACGATCGGCAATGGGCACAATAGAAGGCAGCTGGCTCTCATGGAAGAAGCGCGGGAGTGAAAAGCCTCGAGTTTTTCGATTGTGCGTGCAACGTGGGCGCAAAGACAGCTGACGACCGAGAAGCGGGTGGGCGGGGCTCGCGACTTGTCACCAGACAGGCGGACACGGCTGATGCGAGTTGACAGATGCGTCAGAGTTCGCAGAGAGAGCCGCTACGGAAAAACCGATGACGTCTGAACAGGGGCCGTGCACAGAGCTTTCGCGTCAGAGCTCGAGCGCTGTTACTGCTCGTCGAGAAGATACAGCAGCATGTGGGCCGGTTTTGGTTGATTAAGTAGTCTGCACTCTTGACCAACAAAGCAAGCGCCAATACAGCAACGTCGACGTGCATACTTTCTTTACCTGTCGTATGTGGAGAAAGCCAAACGTGAAAAGCTACTGGCGCCGTCCTCGCTCGACGGCAGCGCGTGCGCCGCAACTCTTTCCATCTCATCAGCAACATAATGTCGTAATGGCTTGTTGGTGCACAGGCAAGGCCAGCCGTCGTCGATATCTTCCCTCATCTTGCTCGCCACACTTCGGTCACAACAGCGAGTTGCTTCAACACGCAACAATCACGACAACGCAATGGTCAGCACGCTGCGCAATACGTGACCCGTCCCTCAGCCATCAACCTCGATCATCGACAATGGGTGCGCGAACATGCAGAAACTTGATGCAGTTCTCTCGATCGGATCCCTCGTATTGTTGAATATGTTCCAGAGCTTCGTTCTTTATCGTATGTTTATGGTGCGGGTGCCAGAGCTCACTCTTGTATCGCATCAAGTCAGCGACATTCCCCTGGACAGTCTCGCTGGCTTGCTGACACGCTAAATCTCGTTGTCGCCGTCATTTGTAGCCAGATGTATTCGCAGGCAGTGAGGGAACGGGGAGGAACTTCATGTTCATCTATTTACAATCATACTATATTGTGCAAGATGTCTGAAAAGTCCTGAGCCAGGATATGAGCGCTGGGGGTGGCAACATATCGTGGCTGAGATCCGCGAGGGGCAGGTGTCCGCGTGAATCTTGATCGACCGATTCAATGCACGCGTGAAGACGAACTACCGTAGCCGCTGAGCGATGTTCGCGAATCGCGTTTGCTTTTAACTGGCGAAGACCGAATGCCCAACATTTGGCTGAGCTTGACGCAGGAGTGAAGAGTTTCCCCGGAACACCGCCGCATTGCGCTCTGCCCGTAGGTGAACTGGGCAAAGGGAACTTGACACGAACCAGATGCGTTGAGATTCCGTTTCTGCGAGCTTGTAATCCTCTTGAAATCGTCTCTGTAGCCGATGAAGTAGGCGGGTTGGAGCCGGAGGAGCTTGGCGATTTGCACAGTGGCGCAAGTGGTTAGCAACCGTCTGAGCCTCCGCACACTCACCTGTCCAAAGGCGTATCAATTGTTGCCAGCATGCTTGAGCGACGGGACAGTCTCAGAAAATGTGTTGTAATGTCCTTTGCACCCCGCACATTGCGTGACTTCTTGCAGCCATTATCGACGGCCCGATGAGTGTAGAACAGGGTGAGCTGCTTGGTTGCGACACGATAGCACGTCCACACTTGATACTCAGAAAGTCCATTCGCGTGATTCCACACATGACATGGCCGTTGGTGCGCCGCAGCAATTTGCCCTCAACCCGGTGCGGGTCGCAAATCAAAGCGATCGAGCCAAGCTTGTAAGGCTGGCAGGCAGGGAGGGAACGGGTTTGTCGCGCGGTCTTAGCTGAGTGGAATTGCGCTTCGAAACCAGAAATGCGTCGTCTTCGGTAGCTAACGAGTCGTTGCAACGTGATACGAGTCTCCACGTTCATCGTACATCTCATTACTACAAAGCTTTCGTGGTCCGAGGAGTCCTGCGTTGTTGATCTGCAAGTTTTGTGATTCATCGAACGCCGTGTGTTGTAGGTCAAAGTCGGAAACCGTGTTTCATGTGTGTTTTTTCTTTGGCATTGCACGGATCTGCCGTTTTGCTCAGCGTGCACACACACACCTTGTACTTACTTTATGCCGAACCCCATTGCTCAAAAGGCGTGACGCTTCCATTACACAACAAAGCTGCAAACAAAGTGGACAAACAACCGACAAACACGTGCATAAACAACTTTCGAGTTCGTAATCGCGCGCGAGTTCTCGCTCGCTTACACTGCAAGATTGGTCCGAGGGCTGTCCCTTGTGCTTTGTGCATAAGTAAAAGGATGTCAGCTCATGACCGTTGCCCTTGTAACTCCGCTGCTGATGAACAAGAGCGCTTTCGTAATTAGAGTGTCTGCGCACACACCATCCAATGTGCCGGTCAGGACATCAGGATCTGACAATTCTGACGACCCACGAGCCTGACGATCTACGAACCGACCAACTTACGCGCCTGACGATCTACAAACTGACTAACGTGCTAACAGTGCTAAGCAGTCTACTTTCTTTTGTCGCCCGCTATCGCCGTGCATCCTTACAGGATAGCGAGATCGCACACGACACGCCAAGTATGAGCCAAAAGCTCGAAAGCTGAGAACAAGGAGTAGAGTATGGTGCTGCAGCAGTGCTTTTACACCGATAAATGTGTCCTGTATACCCTGTCTTCCCTATCCAGGTATACCTACAAAGTAACAAAGTAAATTCCTACGACATTCCCTTGAAACTTCATATACCCTCTACCCGATCACATTCATCCATCCACAGCACCGTCTATCGTGTTTGTCACTAAACCGAGGGACACGTTACCATGGACATCCTCGAGAGTCGCGAAGCATCGCTGCGGTCGAAGGTACTGGGCGCGTCGACATCGCCACCAGCTGCGTCTGCACTGACCGATCGCCTCCTGCGGCTTCATTCCCAACTGGATCATCTATCGGCAGCTGTGCCTGGATCCACAAAGCTCCGTGAACTCTGTGCGTCGTGTCGTGATGTGACGTTGGATATTAATTTAAAGATTCGTCCATTGACGCTGTCTTGGTTTGCGACAGACGAGGAACATTCTGGCCAATTACAGCTCGCGTCTGCTGGAGTATTTGCCAATCAAAACTCTCGGCCCGGTGACGAGCTGAAGCGCGCAGCTATTTTGGGTTCTGCAGACCATTTGCAGCAGATATCTGCCCACTTGCAGCAGCTTCAGCGATTGACAAGCGTCTTGGACCAATTGCGAGCTCCGGACGAGCGGGACCAGGAAAAGTTGACGGCAATTGAAGCCAAGACGGGACTGCAAAGTGAACGGGCTTTGGCGCTGCATTCGAGGGTGAACAGCGTGCTAGCAACGTACCAGCAGATGGTACTCGTGCTGTCCGAGAAGTGCGTTGAGTATAGCGCGCTGCTGGACCAACTTCAGGTGTAAGCGAGCAAAGAACAATACGAAGAAGGAGAAGAGAAGAGCTGCTGGCCTAGTAAGTGGGTGCCAGAGCTGTACTGAGCGATGCGGTCATCGATCTCGTGATGATTGTGGGCTCATCTCTTTCATTCATCCTCTAATGACGAAAAGGTCGGGAAGGATTGAATGTGCAGTGTATTGTTCGCCTTGCGAGGTGTAGTCAACATGGCTGGTCGTTCTGGAGTCGCTTGCTTGCAAATGGCGTGGGTGTCGATAGTAGATACAAACATGATATAATTGCTGTATGTGGGGACACAAAGTAGATGCGCAGGGTCGAGAAACGATACTTGGTAAAGGCCTGTTGCAGATCATATTCATAAGATTCATGAGCATGTTGACAAAAGTGACGGTCAGGAGGGTTCCTGGTATACATACTATCGACACTGTTTGATCGCTCGGATTGCGTCGAGCTCGCGCTCAGAGTAGTAACGCTTGTACAGAGAGTATGTCACAAAGACTACTAATCCGTGCTGCACGCTTCCTAAACGTACCATTAGCTTATTGAGAAGCAGTTCGCTACGGTGCGTAAAGCAAGGGTTTTATTGGATGCGATGCCCGGGTGCTAACAGTATGTATGCTCCTGACGAATCCTCACATTCATTGTATGTACATATATCTTGAGTGAAGTGGTAGCGCTAATGGCCGACGCATTCCTGTGTCTGCTTATCGATTGACATAGTCAGTTTCATGCCGCAAGGTCTGACGACATAGAGACCTCTTGTATCGCCAAATGGTCCAGCCGTGCCGATACCTTTTGTTTGTCACTATTCGAGTGAAGTTGTAGTTGATTTGTATGTTTGCGTTGAAAGAGAAACGACTTGTTTGTATTCGTGATCCCAGTGTTGCCACTTCCGTTCCGATGTGTGCACGGATGGAGGCCGAGTGTACATACAGATCATTCAAGGGTGTGTGCGCAACAGTATTGCATTCTCTTTCGTTTTACTGCTAACCGCCGAGCCGATTGGCGTCAACACCAAAATCATGAAGCAGCATGAAAACCGTGATGTGACGAGATGGTATCGATTCATATATCTTCATATACTTTACACTCCTTGTTGACAAACCATTGAGCGTTACTGGTCCTATCTTGACTTCACAACCTGACTCCGATGTTGGTAGCAGCGACGCGTCATTTGGAACGATCGATCTCCATCGTTGAACGTCCGTATCCGTTCATCAAAGACCGCGTAAGCGTTCATGACATTCTACGAGAGCTACAGATTGAATTTTACTATATCAAAGGCGCATCTACATCTTCGTCGGAGCGATTCATCCGCGAACACTCTCCAGCACAATGATGTTCCACTGCAACGAAAGACGCTACAAAGTCTCCATATTTTCGTCTTCGCCAAATGCGTACTACCCGGGATAGTACACACTCGTACGTCCATGCTTTTGTGCAGGATGTTACGGAAAGTCAGATCAAGCCGACTATCATTCCTACGTTGACGACACCGTCCACACGAAAGCTGTTGCATTTGCTTTGTTTGAATGAGGACACGGCGGTATATACAAACTCAGCGACCGATGATCGGTTTGGCAATCACAAGCGACAGGCAGCAAACTGCACCCCACTCGTCATACCTTTGCCGATACAGCGATCAGTGTATGCAGAACATAACAGAAAGTTTGCCTCTTCGCGCTTTACGAGCTCAAGTGAGATTTTGGATTTGTCGCTCAGCGAAGGTGCTCTAGCCACGTCTGACTGCTATTATTTTCATCAGCAATGTCTTGGACGGTGCATGCTTTTGTGCATACCACATGCAACGCAAAGCACCCTGCAATTGAAGGAAGCATACAAACACAAGTCTGAACAAGCGAATGGATGAAGTGTCGAAAACAACACAGAATACCATCCGCTACTCAACAAAACACTGTCAGAGCACTCTATCTAGTAATCGAACTTAGACACGTCATCTCGAGTCGAAAAAAGCACTTCGTTCCACGCAAAGACGGTATTGTCACGATGGTATAAACACAGACTAGCAAGTGACAATCATCAATCAAACAACCACAATTGATCGATCAATCAAACTAACAAACAAACAAACAAACACAATTGACCAAACAAACAGACACATCTCCATCCACTGTATCTGATAAAGTCCTTCTCAAGTCTAGTGGCGTTTTCGCCTCACGAGCTCATTGCGGTTGTGCTCACAGCCACTTTTTTCTCGCTCCTGCTCTGTCGTCGTCACTATGTCGCACGCCTTCTCCCTGACCACTGCCGTCTTTGCTTTCCATTGCCTGCCACCCATCGAGCGTCAAGAGCTGACGACGCTGCTCCACACCCACAACGGTGTGCTGTACGACGTGACTCGAAGCTGCACTTCCGATACTGTGTTTGTGATCACGAGCTACTGGGCAGACTGCGCGTTCCCAGCAATTGCTGCATCGGATCACAACGTGTCGTTTGAACTCGTCACGCGCTTTTGGCTGCTCGAGACGCTTCGACTGCAGCGATGGCTGAGACGGGACAGTCATCCGTTTTTCCAGCCACCTTTGCAGCCATCCAAATTATGGCTACAATATCCCATGGAGTATTGCTACGACGCAGGACAGGACGAACAGGAGGCACGTGGCCAGAGCGAGGCGCAACAAGAGCCGCAACGACCGGACCGTGTTCGATCCAGAACAACTACTGCTACTACTACTACTACAGCACATCGAGTGCGACTGCCATGCTCGCCCAACTATCTCTTTCGAGACGAGGTGCCGCTTTGGCCATACTTTGCAGCTTACTTGGCGCCACCTATTCGCAATATGGACGATCTCGCCGCGAGACTACAAGTGTACGAAGCTCGAGGAATTGATATTGTCAGGCAGTTGGACACAATGGAGCGTGGAGGTTGTTATAACGCACGTGTTGTGATTGTTGCTACAGACTAACGCTATCGGATCCAAGACGCAGATTCAATTGCTTGGAGTATGCTGTACACAAGGTGTGGTACGGTCTATTTGATGGAGCTCTTCTTGCAAGTTGATCGGTACTTGTGTAGGAGGAGCTTGACTTGTGACTGTGCTGCTGTAGCTGCTCACGATAGAGGAACATATGACGTTTTTCAGAGAAGTGCTGCCGCAAATGGCACGCTTGGTGCTGGCATTACCGCAGATGTTCCCGACACCTTCGCCGCTACTGACACCACACGAAGTTGATGGCTCGGCCGATGCTGGTACAAGTGATAGCGAAGCTTTGACAATGGCAGCAAGTCTCGAGAGGACCAGAAGAGCCCAAGTGATGACGACGAGCCACCGTTTTACAAAGCTTCAAGTATTGACATTGGTGTGCGGCTGCTTTTTTGGCATTTTTCCTGACCAAGACATTAGACGGAGCGCACCGAGCCGAAAAGTGAATCGACGTGGCAACGATATAGGTACCAATGTGATTCGGTTTCCGTGCTTCACTGCAGTTCGGATGTTTTCGGCACCTGAAAACATGGGCAAGTTAGTGAGGCTTAAGGCTCAGAAGATTCGATGTCTCTTGCAGTACTTCTTGCGCGTGGTCCCGCTTTCCATTGCCAAGCGCGATGTGCTGGAGAAAGAAGTGATTGACTATACGCGTGTCAGTGTTCAATTGCCACTTGCACACGAGCGAAAAAGTGCTGACCAACTAGCAAGGGATTTCATCAAGCTTGTGCAGCATGCCACACAACAGGACGCGAATGCTCAGCCGCGTTTGTACGCTGCGAGGTGTGTATCGAATACCTCGATTGAAGAGATGGAGCACCATGTGCAAATTGATTTTGCAAACAAGTTTGCCGGTGGTGGAGTGCTCACATCGGGATGTGTCCAAGAAGAAATCCGTTTTTTACTGTCGCCCGAGCTCCTTGTCTCGTGCCTCGTATTTGCCAAGTTGGAAGCCCACGAAGCATTTGTGGTTCATGGATCCGAGCGCTATAGTGTGCATCAGGGATACGGTGCATCGTTTGTCTATCATGGCAATTTTGAGGACACGACAGGTTTACAAGCTATGGCGGATGGGTGCTTACGGCGAGAGTGTGTAATTGCAGGAATGGATGCAACGGATTATGGTTCAGCACAGACGGAACGCCAGTATACTCGTGGCCATATCTGGCGTGATCTGGTCAAAGCTTATGCTGGGTTTGCGTACCGAGAAGCAAGCGATGATGAACACAAGTGGCCAGTAGCTAGTGGCAATTGGGGTTGTGGCGTGTTTAAAGGAGACCGTGAACTCAAGTTCTTGATCCAATGGCTAGCAGCATCGCTCCATCGTCGCGAACTGGTATACGTTTTATTCGACGTCGACTCGCATCTACAAACATTGGTGGATCCACTGCTAGAGCTAGCCACTAGCTCCGAGGCACGTGCATATGACCAGCAAAGCGGTAAAGTACTCCAATGGCTCATGGCATTTCTATTCGACGAAGCGAATTTCGACCGGAAGGCGCGAAGTGCAGAGAGCGTGTTGACACACGCTTTACATTCACTGGAACGAGCGCTGGCGTTGTTCCGAGCTCGAGAAAGTCATGAAGAAGACCGGCTTTTCGGAAACGAGCAGTTGGCTCGACCGGCTATAGCGTCGTCAAGTACCACAGAAAAAGTGTCGATGGCAGCCTCTTCTCGAGGTCGAGACCAAGCACAAGGGACGACGAAGAAGAAGTCAAAGACAATGCAGACAATGAGCTATCAAAGTACGCTACGAGACCGTTTTGTATGCGAGGAACACGCAGACGAAAAGCCCACAAGCAGGTAAACTGCCGTCACGCAGCGTATGAAACCGCAAAACGAGACGCGCAATCCAAACGCAAAGACGAGGATGAAGTGCCCAGTGTAAGTTTAAAACACGCAAAAGAGAACACCACACGACCGCATTGACCGACGTATTACTCGACTTGATTGATTCATCGATTGCTGTTTTAAACCCCGTTGAGCTCGCTGTCTACAGGTCCGCCAGTTGTCGCAAAAGGCCTCGTCGAAATCAACGCGCAGCGTGCACGAGAGCGCTCGACAGGCAGCAGCAATGGCACTCGTGCTCTCGGTCCATGACCCTGAGCTCCGTTGCTCGTCGCTTCCTTCTTACGACGTTCCCACAACATTGCCGTGGTTGTCCGTGATTTGCGTGTCAGTCTGTGTCGCCGTATAGAGTGCTTGTTCAGACGTGTCCATGGCATGAATAGTCGCTTCGCTGACGACAGTCATTTGGTCGGGCACGTTTTTCGCTGCGGCAAAGGTCGCCATCGCGACGACGAGCAAAGACGCAGAGGCGAGAAAGCGAGTCATGAGGACGCGGGAGTGGCACTGGATGCTACTGCGGTTTGTGCGGGTGCGGGTGCGGGGGCGAAGTTACTATGCGGTTTGTGCTGGAGAATTCTCGTTTGTGCCTCTCAGTGGGAACGTTTGGACCTCTAGCGGATGGGCCGCACGTCGTTCGATCGTTCGACCAGATAGAGAGAGACACAAACAGGCGGAGCGGTAGAAGAGTCAGAAGAAGAAGAAGAAGAAGAAGAAGAGAGCCAGCGAAACGTTTTGTTTTTTTGTATTCCAGAGCGTTGCCGTCGAATAAGTTTACTCGGTCTATGCTTTCTGACAAGATCTGCGCAAGTACAAAAGCAAAAAGAAGAGGATTAAGTTTAGAGGCGATTTGTTTTGTGTTTTTTACTGCAGCATGCAACCCCATGCGCAACGACATGACGATGACCATTACCTGGCAAATGTAATGTGCAGTGTCAAAAACCACGTTGACGTGGCGTTCACGAGCGCCTTGCGACCAATGCCACCGCGTTTGGCTGGGCAGGTACTTTACATGCGTCTCGAGTGCACTGGTCGTCGATCGAAGCGTTTGTGTGGACTACGACGCATGCACGTGGAAGAACAAGAGTCGTAACGCGGTTGTTGTTGGTCGGTAGAACATCGATGAAGAATCTCTGTGGAACACTGAACTATCGATACAATCAGTGCGGCGTACGTATCCTAACAGAGTTCCTAGAGTGCTAAACGAACTGAACTGCTGCGCGTGTGTAAGTGTTTACAAAGTGACAAGAACGCCCTTGATGTTCTCAAGCGTTTATCATTTTCTTTTCTACATCGGAGTGTGCAAGCACTGCATCGGTAATTAGAGTGTGTGTTGAGGTCAATGGCGTCATGGAGGTGGTGCCCACCGGTGTAGTTGCCATACGATCGTTCGGACTGTTGTGAGACTAGCGTTACCGTGCTGTCTGTTTTGTTGTCAATCTGCTTTTTAATGCCTTTCGATGGCGTTGTCTGAGTCGCGCAAGCATTGTACGCAACGACGGAGGCCGCGATTGTGCGGTTGCGTCGACTATAGTGCATTCCTTTTCTACCGTGTAAAATGGGCGGCTGCACCCTGTGCTGTACTCCAGACATGCGTTGCTTTTGACATGATACGTGGTACAGACCTTTACATACGTAGGTAGCCAGTGTGTCGCCACCTCACGCAGCGTCACGATATGATACTATTGACAGCGCTATCAGTCCGCGGTCTCTTCAGAGCGTTTCCGGCTGCATTTACGCTTTAAATGAAGTGACTGTCGCTACAAGAGCAGCATGGGCAGAAGCAAGTACTTGTATGTGCTCATGCCCTGCCGCAGCCACACCAAGTAGTCGTCGTTGTGCACTTATGACGAACACGAAGTGGCGGGGATGCTATCAGGGTTGGTATGCAAAGAATGGCCGCAGACTTGCGTCAAGTTGAGGACAGGACAGCGTTCGTGTTTGTAGACGGATCAAGTGGCAACACGTACAGAGCGTGTTGTAGAGAAAATGTCGAAGTATCATCTGGGATGGATTCTCCAGCCAACACGCATCACGGTGCGTTGATCGACGAGATGGAAGTAGTGCATATGCGGACGACGCAGTCGTACCTCTGATCACAGTATCATTCCTCCGACTGGATCATGGAAGAGTAAATGCTTGCTTCATGTGATCAGAGGGCAATCAGCACGAAGGCAGGCTTATCTGCGCGTTGTCCGACTTCCCATGAGCCACATCGTAAGAACCCTCTGTTCTCAAGATGGCTAAATGCGGTGGCAATCAGAGAAACCGTATGGCTTGTGCAACGGCTCAGACGGCGTTCTCGCTCCGTTGCTGCCTTTTGTGATCGATTGCAGCCACCTGTACGACAAAGGCGCTCAGCTGATTGATCCTTGCAATATCTTGCCAGCAACTTGTTTGACCAAGCTCAACAGTCTACAGTGTCCTCGTCTTTGATGCTCATTCCCCTCGTACATTATCGTCATCATCCTCTCCTTCTTCTTGCACTTTCACATCGTCGCAAACAAGCGTAGCCTAAGCCACTGCACTTACACTCTCAACATCCGTCCTATCCAAAGCTCACCGGTCTTGCTGCAAGCTTTCGTGTCATGCGAACAGCACTAAAGCCCGCATTTGATCAGTCCGTCGTTTCGTTTTTCTTGCACAACAAACGATAAGGCACAAACATCAGGAGCGTCCGAGCTGCTGCAAAGCACCGGTAATGTCTTCAGCTGCATGTGCAATGTGTGCGACACCTTTGTCCACACGGTAGCAAACGACCCTAGCGACCACGATCTGCTTCCTGCATGAGCAAACTATAGGCACCCGAAACAGCGCCTTCGACGTTACTGGCTCTTGCAGGAATGCATATCCATGCTCATCGAGAACACAGTCTCCTCTCGAGCTACAAGTATACATCGCCGTCTTAGACGTCATTGCACCCGAGAAGCGACACGTCACAAGAACGAAAGGCTGGGCGGGCGTCAGCGGACGACCGGCCGTCTGAACGTGCGAGTGGTCTCGGTCATGTCGTACGATCTACCGGGAAAGAAACAAAAGAGGATGCAAGGGACTACTACGACAGTCAGTAGCGTGATCGACCCCGCCGCAGCTCGTATCGTATATGTCGCACCTACCACCTCATGACACTACAGGCATAAACAAACCGCAACGTGTCTAGCGCAGGAACACTTGCGGCAACGAGTTGATGACTGCCGTGTAGTCAGTCTGCAGTCCATCAAGCTTGAGCACCTTTCGGTCCGATATGCGTGGCATCGCACCGACCGTCGTCTAAACAGTCACATGACAAACACACGTCAACAGGCAGAGAGATGCGTCGTGTACAAGTCGCAGCTTAGCAATCACCTGCCCTGCACGATGGACTAATGCCGCCTTGTCTTGTCCGCTACTCTATGCCACTGCATTCCCATGTAGTGGTACGTGCGACACGCATTGATCGCTCGACGTCGCCTCGTCGAACTTGACTTGCCCAACTTTACCGACGCCACGACAGCTGGTCGTTCGGTCGTCGTACGAAGCGGCTCTTCTCGTCGGGGTCTACAGTCGCTGCCCCAGCTCTTTTGCTCATTCGCAGACAAGCACCCGACCTCCGACAACTTCTCGACGCGACTCGACTTTCCCTGTACTATCCACTACAATGCGTGTTATCGCCTACTGCGCCCTGCTCTGCCTCGCTGCGGCCACTGCGACTGCGGACAACCCCGTGGTCGACGGGCTGGTCAACAGCGTCACTACGTCAGCTACGGAGGCCGCGACCGACGCGGTAGACGATGCGACCAATGCGGCCACACGTGCGGCTACGGATGCTACCCATAGTGCTGTCAACTCGGCTACACACGCTGCCAATGAGACGGTTGGTGGCGCTATTGGCGGCGTGTCTAATTTCACCAAATCGGCTGTGGACCACGAGGACGATGACGCGGGCAGTTTGCCGAAGAGACCGGACGATACCGCGGACGACCACGACGACGGGTCTGCTTCGCACTCTGGCGCTTCCACGGCGTCGTCGTGTTTTGTCACGGCGGTCGTTGCAGTCTCTGGACTTGCGCTGACTTTTGCCTAAGCTGACTCGGGCGTTGAAGGTGCATGTGGAGACGGACCAACAGATCGCCCGCCTATGGACAGACTGACGACAGAGTAAACACCCTTGACGAGGTATCGAATAAAAACAAACGTGAACGAATGGTCCGTTTGGTGTTGACCACGATTGCATTTTGGGTGAGAGTCTGGCCATAACGATGCTGCAAGAAAAGCCTTGACAGGCTGTGGTGTGACTTTCGTCGCGTGACTTGCGCTCGCTTTCTTCGCATCGCGGCACGAAGAAGGCGACGGCAGAACCGCTCTTCATGTCGGTCGCTCTTTTTCGCACCGTATCGGTGCTCCTAGGAGTGTGGCAAAGGACCTGAGTTGGCGTCTACTGCTGCTCTTGACGTCTAGTGTCAGTCATCACAATGCTGCAGTCTCACTGTAGTTGTTCACAGTGAGTCTGCAGCATTGTTACGACTTTGTGAACAATTACATATGTCTATGTTGTTGTACGCAGTAGCAAGATGTGCTCTTCGAACGTATCTGTTCTTGGCAACGTCTTGTCGACATACCAGCGAGTTATCGGATACAAAAACGTTGCGTGAGCGAGTTAATCAATCATCGAAAATGATAAAAGGTTTACGCCTCGCGGCATCATTTGCTATTGAAGATGCAGTTGCTTGTGCTGTTGGCTCAGACGAGTGTAGGATGTCTCTTTGCTGACCTATTTGCTGCGACGGCGTCTCAAGTAGTAGCCACACGGCACGTGTTTGCAATCGACTTGTTCCTTATCTACCTCTCATTCTGTCGTTCAGCGACAGCAGCCCTTTATCGATTGAGCAAGCGACTTCGGTATAAAAATACCATTGATCGCGATGGCAGCCACAACCACTAGAGCAGTCGCAGGCGTTACGTGCCCCGAAGCAAAAGACGCTGATACTGGCGCAGATATCTCTATCGAAGCATGGACATAAGGCCTGACGCACAATACACCGAGAAGAACTTAAGCGGCTGCGTTATACTGTCGGTATGTGCGAAGATGTTGATCTTGCATCAGTACGGGCTGATGCCTGCAAATACAGAAGCAGCTCTTTGAACAGTGCTAGATGTTTGATACAGTGTAGCCATCATTTCACCCCCACGCTTATAGGTGATCGAAACTGGCTTGGCTGTTGACGAAGGTATGAGCTCACAAAGTTTATAGCACCGAACTCCATCACAGGCAAAGCTGACTCAGCCGATGAAGCCTACTAGTAAAAAAACCAAGAATTGGGACGGAAACATTGGCAAACATATGAAAATGGGCTTTGTGACGGTCTACAAAACAATGAACTCGGCAATGATCCAAGATGTGACTGCAGAAAGCGGAGGAAGTTATAGGTTAACAAGTGACGATCAAGCGCATGATAGGTACTTCAGTGTCGCCGGATAGGTTACCGTAAATAAGGGACAAAAAAATCTGGATCAAACATGTGGAATGCGTTGCGTAACCTGTTGAAAGGAAACCAAACAGAGTGAAGCTGTCATTGCCTACACGATTTCGTTGCTACCTGAACGAATTATGGCAGATGAACTGCGTGCTGAGGACGATGACGATTTGCATCTATGTAAGATAGTCAGTACAGGATTGCTTTCAATTTATTGAGCAGATTTAAAAAATGAGAGATGAAACTTGTAAGCTCAACATTCTTGACTAAGTTCATTGGTTCACAAGTCGTCGATACGACATGATGCGGATCCGAACGTGTATTCACCTGATACTTCGTTAGGTACATTTAGAGCAGCAGCGCGAAAGCGTGAGCATCAAAGTAAGCTCGGTATTGAGCGCTGTGATCAAATGCATGTGACCAGGGAGGTGAATGTACAAATGGTCAGTCCGAGTTGCGAACTAGAGCGCGTTTGTATGTGGTAGTGAGAATCACCTTAAGGTAATTGGCCGTAAGGGAACAGAAAAGAAAGTGGCGCTACAAAGGGTCTGACGTGTCACACGAGGGAATAGTTCCATTCTTCGCAGTCACGGATATGATCAATGCGACGAAGAGTACATTCGGGCGTCGATGATGGTTCAAGATCGACAATGCTGATGATCAGGGTACACCTGTTCGTAGCATGGATGGACAAATCAAAACCGGATTCCTGAACTTGCAGTGGCACATAACATGGGGATATCGTTACGCCTAGGGAACGGGAGCAATGTAGCTGACAAAAACAAAGCCAAAAGTGCCGTGCAAGGTGAGCGAGATGGGCTCTCAAGGCCAAACTCACCATGTATTCGATACCGCATCCAATTCTCATAACCTAGAGATCGCTCGCTTTTGCGGCATTCACTGAAGATCGAACCAATTGCACAATGTGCATGGCGGGATGCTGATTGTAGTATTACGGCTAGCCGGTGCAGATACTGCGCTAGCGGTCACTCAAGCAGATGAAGGCCAAGTCGTTCTGCACATAGATGATGATTACAGTCTGCCTAAAGCAAAGTATGGATATCCTTTTACCTAGCGTTGCGCGTGGCCAAAGTTTCGAAATCACCGTTGATGTTGCTGCGATAAGTTTTGCAGTATCTATTGTTGGTGGAAAGCGTGCCTTGGTTGCTGAAAGCAAGACTGCACTTAGGAGAGTCAGATGATGCAAACTGTTACCTTTACAAATAATATCACAACCGATTTTCAAAGTGTACAAGCGAGCTACGTGTGTCTAAACAGTAGCTCAGGGAGAAGGCACATGGTGACTGGCATGAGTAATTTGCCGTGCATGAGCGCAATATCGAAGGACAAAGGCTAACAAAATATTGGTGCGAGGTATATGCTAAAAGGCGCGATGACAGATCGCATATATGGCATACCATACGGATAAACAGAAACGACAGAAACTTCATCGATCGTTGAAGGAACCAAGTCATGACGTACGCCGACTTTCTAATTCATCGAAAATACTATGGTATCGACACGAAATTGGACGGTTACTCGAGTTTTGTAACAATTCTATGATGAATGACACCGTCTGGCACTGCCGTTAACATGAATCTGTATGGTCAGAGTGGAGCGTCAAGCTGGAAGAGGAGGGTGCGCTATCAAAGTAGTGTTATGTCGAAGGAAAATTGGAAAGTGTATTGAATTAGTTTTCCTATGAACTTACTCGTCGTGTTATCTTCTTCTACCTTGTAGCTTTCCCTGATCTTGATGGATTCTAGAACATACACTCAAGGTAGTTCTAGAATCATCAGACTGCACGTGAACCGTTTACACCCTGTCGTATCATCGCTGTCTTGTCACTTGTGCGTAGCAAATCACAGTTGGCTTTGTTGACCGTGCATTGACAGTGCACCCATCAACACTCCCACTCACTGTTGATGCTCGGGTCCATCACGTACCTTGATGTCCATTCCGGCACGGAGGTACTGGAATCGCTTGGTGCCGAGTGCCTTCGTTAGTATGTCGGCAAGTTGATGTTCCGTCTCCTTGTAGATCACCTTTATATCACCGGCCAGAACTTTCTCTCGGACAAAGTGGTGACGTATGTCTACGTGTTTAGTCCGCGCATGGTATCCTGGGTTTGTTGCGAGAGCAATGGCTCCTTGATTATCCTCGTAGATGACAGTAGGATTCTTCTGCTCGAATCCGAGGTCAGCCATTAACATCCTTGCCCATAGTATGTCTTGAGTGCACATGCTTAGCGCCATGTATTCAGCCTCAGAAGTACTCAATGCAACGGTGCGTTGGTACTTGGACTTAAATATAACAGGGCCTCCATTAAGCACCAGCAAAACACCAGATACCGATCGACGGTCGTCCAAGCTGTTTCCCCAATCGGCGTCACTATACGCTGTTAGTTGTTGCTGTAGTTTGTCAACACTGTAGTGTAATCCAAAACCACTCGTCGAGCGGAGGTATCTTAGCACTTTGATCAGTGCCTTCCAGTGTTGTGAGCCAGGGTTTTCTGCAAATCGTCCAAGTTGGCTCACATGAAATGCTGCGTCTGGTCTGGTCGTGGTCACTATAAACAGCAGTCGTCCCAGCAATTGGCGGTACGGTGTACGACTCATGGCTTGTCTTTCGACATCGGACTTTGGACTGTTTGCGCTGGACAGTTTCATGCTCTGATCACATGGGTTACCAGTTGGTCGGGCTTGAGTCTGTCCAAACATGTCTGCAGTCTCCTCGATGTATCTTTGTTGCGAAATAAACATCTCACGCTTCTTTCGGTCGTACATAACTTCCATTCCAAGCAAGTGCTTCACTGGACCAAGGTCTTTGGTTTGAAACCGCTGAGAGATTTGTTCTTTCACCTTGCTTACCGTGGTTGCTTCTTTTGCAGCCACAATCATATCATCAACGTATAAGCAAACGTACGCCCAGCCTTCACCATCCTTTATCTTGTATATGCATCGATCAGCACCGCACGCGACAAATCCCATCTCCAGTAATGCATTGTGAATCGTCTTATTCCAGGCATTTGCAGCCTGCTTAAGTCCGTAAAGCGCGCGATTCAATTTAAGTACAAACTCGCTGCCAATTTTCATCCCTTTGGGTGGTAACAAGTATACTTCTTCTTGTAGGTCGGCATTCAGATAGGCCGTATCAACATCAAGCTGGTCGATCACATATCCTGCTGCGCAGCAAATCGACAATAGCATCCTGATGGAGTTCATACTGGCGACAGCCGCGTACGTCTCGAAAAATTTGATACCATATTGTTGCAGGAATCCGAGCGCCACAAGTCGTGCTTTGTATCGACCATCACTCTTTTTTGCCCATACCCACTTCGATCCAATTGGTTTCATTCCAGGCTTGCGTACAATTGGTGTCCACGTCTTGTTACGCTCATGAGCCGCAAATTCATTCTCAATAGCTTTAATCCATTGGTATCTGTCAGGTCCATTCACTGCCTCCGCATAAGAGCCAGGTAAATCACGAGCTATCATGGCAACTTCTGCTATCAATGCCACATCGCTGTTTATTCGCGATCGCTTGGAAGGAGGTTCGTCATCTTCACTCCCACTGGCTTCATGGTTTTCATTGTATGGCACAATGCTGT